GGATTTTACCTCGACAGCTGTGTCCATCCCAAATGAATTCCGGCTCACAAGAGCATTTGAACGATCCCTCAGTATTTGAACATATGGCATTGTACTTGTTACAGCTGTGAATATCTTCAGCACACTCATCGATATCTGAAATGAATTTAATAGAATGTTACCATGACCATAATTGGGAATAACTATGGAGCTGTGGGGTGGGACTCTGATCTATGACGGATTGATCTCAAAGGCACCTAACAACTACTAATCATTGCGCGCTTAGTCTGCCATTTTCTATATCATCTAAATTCATGAAATTTCTTCTGAATTTATCAGTGGCTTATTCCGGGTAGTTACTTTAGTGGTTTCTTGCAATTTTCTTGGGAAATTTTCGTTGTAACCGTCAATGACATCTCGCGTTTTTTCGCGTGGAAGACCTAAAGCCGCGAAGCAGACGAATAAATTCAATCTATAGAATATCAGGCAGGTTGGTTCTGATATCGAAGGTCTAAGTAATAGCCAATTTCCAGAGATTGTGCTGCATTAAAGCGTGGATATGCTTCGAGCGAGGTGCAGGTTACATCCTTTCTTCAACCCAGTAAAAAGGGTTGACGGGCCAGCAATTGAATGTAATATGAACGATTTTTTCCGCAGTTGCCCGTATGTAAGCAAAGACAGAGGTGTGGTCGACTTGGATCCTATGAGAAAGTTTGACGTTAACATAGGCTATCCAAAAGCTGACAAGACATATCTCGATTTGATGGACAACTTTCAAATCAACATCAAAATTCCTCAAGGAAAAAATGAGGTCTCTCCTGTACGGGTTTTATCCCCAGGACTGCATTCATCATAAGTAATAACAATTCCGGCAGTTAATCCAGACGAAGCGGCGGGAAAAGGTATATTGGAACTAGGATCACAGAACCTATGTTCCTAGCGAAGAAACCTAAAAATTTGAACTTGTTCTATGACGAAAAGATAAGTGTATATAAAGGATGTGCCAGGCTATTTGTCAGTGGAAACAAGCAAAGAAGTAAGCCGATTAAAATTCACGGAGCTTCGAGAAGATTCACACATAGAATGTTGTTAGATAAGACGATATTTCGAGAATTCTTCCTTGGAATTTGCGTCCATTTCTAGCGAATCCCTGCTTACAGTAGCAGTTGAACGATCCCTCGGTATTTATGCATGTAGCACTGTTTCTGCTACAGTTGTGGGTATCTACAGTGCATTCATCGATGTCTAAAATGACATCAACAGAACGTACAATGATCATGATAATGAGTAGCCGGGCAAAAGGGGAATAGGGGCTGGGGTAGGTCTCCAATTTGCATGAAAATGACAGTCGCGCCTGTTAGTCCAGTGTCTAGAATCTCAGGTCATTAAGCATGTCCTATTTTATGTCAGCAGATCTGATTTATTTTTTTGTGCTGATATTACAGAACACCATGGTTTGATAACTTTCATTACCTTTACAGCTGTGTCCATCGCCGGTGAATCCAGGACTACAAGAGCAGTTGAACGATCCATTGGTATTTGTACA